GCGAGAGTCAGTCACATGTGAAAGTTTGAACTTCAGCTTGTGAGGAACACTTACCAGGTCCCCACCAAAAGATCCCTTGTCACGCTTCAAGGAAGGCTTCTTATTGTATTCTTTTTAATTAAAAGAGTCTTGTTGCTTTTAGCACATGGGTGCAATAAGCTTTATACAGAGAGGAGCAAGGAATAAAGGCAAGAGCTTGAGCAGGATTCCCTCACGGCAATGTACAGGTGCATCACCAGCGATACACAGACCAGCACAGAGCTATGAGCCACTGCGGCTCCTTCCCAGGGACAGTGGGGAGGATTATATACATATAAAATGTGGCAAGTTTTGGTCAAACAGTAAGAGCGCTCACCTTGCGACACACACACCCCCTTTGGCTGGGGACATGCTGAAATGCAGACACTCAATACCCGAGTCAGTGATTCACACCATATGTGGGCACGTGGGCGGGCGCTTCAGTCCCTGCTCACAGGGTTGTTTTAGGGAAAATAAAGAAAATGGCCATGGAGGCAGAGAACACAGGAGAGACTCTGCTTGTAGCAAGAAAAGCGCTTTTTGTGTGCCTCTGAAAGGTGATTAGACATAGAGGGAGTTTTAGGTGTGGTGTGACCAAGCCCCTCAGGGACTCGAGGAGTGGGTCGCCTACCTTCCAACACCTCGTGAGTCATGGGGCGAGGCTGATGCCAAACCGCTCAAACCTAACATAACTCCTAGGGCATCGGGAACTTTCAGATCAAGACCAGTGCTGCTGCAAGAAGGTAAAAATTTCCAGAGTTAGTTGGCTGCAGAACAAAGGGGTTGCATTTCAGAGTGGGGCTCAGCTGTCCCTCTTCACACCCCTTCATCCTTTAATTCATATTTGGATCTGGTCGTATGTCACTTCAGGCAATGGTTTCTTTAACAGCGCCCAGCTTTTCAGCAGTAGCATTTTTAAATATCATCATATTCTCCTGTTTTGCTGGAGTTGGTCATTATCTCAACCCCAACAGGCAGGATTTTGCTGGGCTTTTTGTTTATAACGCACGGGCAAGGTTGTTCTTTCCTGGGAAACAGAGAGCCTTCATTGTTGATGACAGCAACAAAGGTTAGTTTGTCAGCATGTATAGCCTGGATTTATTTAATAATAAAAGAGCTATGTGGAATACCATCACCTTCGGTACGTTTGAAGTTAGGAAAGGCAAGAGCCTTCCCAGCAACAGAAATTTCAGAGGGCAAGATCCAGGTGCTGGGAAAATCAAGTATTTGTATAAAACCTTGCTGCTGGCAGGCTGGAGGAAGGAAGTCACAGCATCACATCCGTGCTAGTCTTAATGGAAGTGCATGAGCTCTTCCTTCAACTACCCTTGGCAACAGGCAAAGAGATCACACTCATGCTACACAGCTGCCTCCTCTGGTCCCCTCCCATCTCCTGCTGGAGTTCCAACTGCAGCACGAGAGCTGAAGCTATCAGCACACATTCACCCGCCGAAGAGGCTGAACTGCTCTTCAGTTCCTTATCAGCATCTCAACAGACAGCCCTGCGTGCTGAATATCCAGTTCCAATGCCAACCAGTCACTGACCATGGTCCGCAACCACCTGTTTTGGCACTTTCCCACTCTGCACTCAAGCAGCTCTATGTGTCTCCTCCTGCAACTTTGGCACATGTTCGTGGCATCATAAGAAACAAATCGTAACCTTACCCACGGTACTTTTCCAAGGCGACATCAGTTTGTCTCCAGCTGAAAATAAACCAGCTGGGTGCAGAACTCCCATAAACACTTGAAAAACAGCACCATAAAGTCACACTTGGCAATTCAAAGTTCCCATTTGTTTGAACAAATCAGATCTAGCCAAAATAAGTATGCCATTCATCTCTTCTGCTATTCCCTAAGTAGCCATAAAAATCTGAACGTATTGAAAGAATAAAAAAAAAGCTTCACAAATTATCTAAATCTTCAAAACAGTTCAAAATTGTTCAGTCCTAACAGAGAATTTCTACTTGTCTCACCTGAAAGACTAAAGCATAACACATAATGCAAGTACTTAACAACCACTCTCATTTCAAGGGAGGACAAAGTTGAAGTTATGTTCCCTGTACAAGAACCATGAAAAAAATTCAGCATCAGAACGGGTCAGACACATACATAACTCTGATAGCTCCCACGCAGAAAGGAGAGTTACAAAGAGAAATTCTGATGTGGAACACAATGGCTTTATCGCAGCTCCCACATTCTTTGTTGACTTTTTAAACAAACACGATTAAGGCATATCTACAAGGGATGATGCAGATTCTTTGCAAAGCATAAGATCTGGGACACAGCAGCATGGATACACACACAGCTTTTGTTCTTATCTTACCTCCAGCAAGACTGAAGCGCAGACCAGTAGCTACAGTGTCTCCAACCTTGAAGGAGACACGCCCTTGAATTTAAGGCCAGTGCTATAACCCAGTCTGAAATATTCTCATCCACGTTAGTCAGCATTGAGATGGATTCTCTCTTCCAGGCACCAGAGAGATATAACTCCACTGACAGGTAATGAAAAGGCATAAATGAAAGGAGAGTTACCCTCAGCCACTAACTCCCCTCCTGTTGAGTGCCTGGGATTGCATCAAGACTTTCAATTGGACCAGTAAGACAAAATCCTTAATAAAGCAGGCAGAACAAATTGCAAACTGAGACAAATACGTAAGTAGAAAGTGGTTTCATTAGTTTATTGCTTTTTGCAACCTGAACTTTGCTGCCATTTCACGGATGGTTGAGTCTGTGCAGGTATATTCAATGCAGTATACACTACCATGGAGAACAACGTTTTAATCACAAGCCATAAAACTAGTGGGAAAACAATCTAATCCTACATCAACATAATTTGAGAATTTGACAGTAAATACAGCATCTCCAAAAAGCTATTGGCATTTACGTTAATCAACTGATTATTTTTAAGTTACTGAGTAAAGCAAACTGGTGAGGGACCGAGTGCTCTGAAACACGTACTTTCGGTGTATTCAGGACATCCTCCCAACACACACATTCCAAAATCTTCCAAAATTTCACTAATACCAAATGAAATTAAGGTACTTTGCTTCCAGTTTAAATACCAGGAGAAAATAATTAACGCATTTTAATATATTAACCAAAAGACTATCTGTATAAAACTCTTCACACATGAAATATTTTTAAATTAAACACTATAATTATTATACTTACAAGAAAAACAGACTAGAAATTTATTGCTAGTACAAAAATTAATGTGTTTCAGGGAGGAGGAGAAGTTAGATTAATATTATTGCTATAAACACAAACAGTGCCAGAGACAAGAATCTGATTTTCAAATTTGCTCACCATCTACAACTGGCTTTCAAGGACATGTAGGTACATGGGACTTACGAAAGATGAGGTCCACAACTTTCTTCAGAGTTATGCTTTATGATCTGACGTCATTTTGTTGCCTTTTAGTATAATGGCCAGAATCGGTCTGCTGCTCCTGCATTCTAACGTTATCATTCATTAAAACTTCTCTCCATGGGGAAAAAAAAAAAAAAAAACCAAACAAAA